GCAGATTGTGCATGAAGCCAGCAAACCTAAAGTGCTTCTAATTGGCGCAGGCGTAACACTGTACGAGGCACAAAAAGCGGCAGAGAAGCTGAAGTCGGAAAATGTTGAAGTGCTTGTGCTGGATCCATTCACAATTAAGCCACTGGATAAGAAATTGGTTGTGGCGTCAGCTAGGAGAGCAGAAAACCGTATTATCACGGTTGAAGACCATTATCAAGCTGGAGGTTTGCTTTATTCGTAAAGAAGGACTTCAGTTGTTAACTTTTAGTAAATTTGAAAGCTGAAATAATAAGGCACTGCAGTAATTGTATATCGTGTCCCAGTTGATTCAGGCGTAATTTGCAGCATTAACTACATCCACCGCTAAAAACTTTGTAATTAAACTAAATAGCATAAAACCCAGGTAGCAATGCATCAGGCTTATCGGTGCGATCATGCATTTTTGAATAATTCCATCCCATGGAAGGGTTCTTTAGTAACAGGGGATGTGATTGCGGTGTAGCAACATTTGCTGCGCCTGTATGCAGGACCCATGTCAAGGCAGAAACTCATCTTTCGCTTACTGGCTTGCACATAAACAGCAAAAATTCTCAGAAAAATACTGCTTCCTAGTCAAAAGTCCGATTACCGAGTTGATTGACTACCAACAACGTCCTAAACTAGACTTTCACTTGTGTGCGCCTGAATCCTAGGCGTGCTTAAAGCTGAATTTGAAATATTTCGGTCGCATACAGGCACAGAAAACCTTCACAAAGTTTTAGCTCCCTGCCGTGATTGGTTGGCGAAACCACTTTTCGTTACAAACATTCTTGACTTATTCGAATACGCATCACAACCGAATGCCAAAACTTATGCCAAGATGCCCATTTATTGAAAAAAAAAAAACATTCTTGCAAAGATATAGCGCTCTAGTCATCCTGCCTCAATGTCAACTTTGATGTTTCGGCACATAAGACATAGGCATGCGTTAAAGCTGAATTTGAAATCTTTAATTCATGGAACAGCGCAAAAAACCCTCGTGGAAAAATACTTTCTCACTTTTTATGCCAACGAATGAGTTAAATTGCTTGGATTCATTTTGGGAATTTTTTTTCTTGGCATGTGAAGAGTGGGATTTCAGGTATTGGTGAAGCTGTCTGCCAGGCAGTTTCTGACGAGAAGGATATCCGTGTTCGTTCGCTCTGTGTTCTCGATGTCCCACGCTCCGGGCCACCGGATGCATTACTCGAACTGTTTGGCATTTCGGCAAAATGCATTGTTGAAGCTGTTCACGAGTTCATTCATCCGCCAAACTAAGGTGGTGACTCATCCAATCTCTCTCTCTCTAAATTCCACAATTCCATTTGCTTGCCGTTGTTGAAGTTTGTGCTGGAATCTTTCCGTCCCTACTATCATCCTAACTGAAAGTCGCTGTTATCTGTTTCCGCTAAATTTTTAATTG